CTTTCTGAAAAGAGGGTCCCCTAAAGACAAATCTGGCCTTGGTGGCTTGGCAACTGATTAGGTATTTTCATGATAAAACCAACAAAGGATGTCTTTATGTATTTTAAAGGATAAGCAGAATATCATACTGTTCTTTCAAAACTGTCACTGCACCATTCAAAATGGGATTCTGTACATATACACAGACAAGAATACAAATACAACTACACAAATATGCAGTTAGGAAAAATTTCTTCACTGAAAGGATTGTCAAGCGTTGAAGCAGATTGCCCTGGGAAGTGGTATAGTCATCATCCCTGGAGGTATTTAGAAGATGTAGCACTTTGGGACATGGTTTAGGGGTAAATATGGCACTGCTGGGTTAATGGCTGGATTTGATGATCTTAGAGGTCTTTCCCAACCTAAGAAGTTCCATCTGATTCTATGATTCTATAGCTAGATACACGTTTTGCTCTGACATGAAAGCTTGTTAGTTTTCATCCATGAGTTACCTGATTACCAAATTAACTCATCTAATTATTAAATATGTTTTCATACTGGAAGTTGCCTAGACTAAAGGCTTCTTTCTCTCTGAGTCTTACTTACAAACACCGATTAAACTGTGTTTAATCTGACTTTGAAAACACAACCACGTGCAAGTTATACGAACCATGTCCAACATTCCCACGAATTCATCCACTCTGGTCAGTAAATCTTCTAGACTCTTGTCTAAGCTTTCTATCTGCAAAACAGAGGTCACTTGAAGTGCTGAAAACACACCCACACGCACACCCACACTCTCACATTCACAAAACCCCGGCCAGCCTCACAAAGCGGACCACCGAGTACAGACACCGGTCAGACTACAGCCAGTCCCACGGGAATCCCACGGCTTCTCCTCTCTCTCGGCTTCCTTCAGCGCAAGGGTCGCGACCCCCGCTACGTCCTGTGCTGCACAGCCCCAGCCCGGGAGCGTGTCCATCTCCACAGGGCTGCGCTCCCATGACACCCCTTCCCTGTGCCCGGGAGCTGTCCGGGAGCCCCGGCCCGGCCCCTCGCCCACCTGCTCGCTGAAGAGGCTGCGGTCAGCGAGCAGGTACGCGGAGTAGGCGGCGGCGGTGGCGCTGAGCGACGCCTCCGAGGCGTCCTCATCCTCCGCTTCGCCGAGGCCGGAGGCTCTGCTTTGGCTCTGGGAC